GACAGATGGACAGAGCAGCAATGCCTCCTGCAGTGACATTACCTTCGGGCCGCTCCTGCCCGTGAGGCCAACGATACCCTGGTTGTTGGAGAGGGAGAGCACGTGTCACCAGGGACCGAGGTGGCCTGGTGCCGGTGGAGGGACCAGGGTGGTGAGCCGGAGCCCCCAGGGCAGAGCCTCATCAGTCCGAGCCCCGGGGCATACCCAGACTCACCCGATCACCCTGCTCGCCTTTGGGGCCGGCCGGCCCCGGGATGCTCAGGCCAGGGGCACCCTAGTCACAAAGGGATGCAGCTTGGAGCAACAGCACAGGCACCATGATCCCGGGGGGGTGCTGTGCCATGCCCCCTGTGCCCCCCCATCCCCAGGTAGTACTGACACGGGCGCCTTTATCTCCCACATCACCCTTGGGGCCAGGAGGTCCTTCTGGTCCTGGCAAGCCTCTGTCACCCTGAAGCAGATGAAATGGCACCATGAGCCCCCCCCAAACTATCCCCCTTCACCCCACTGCAGTGGGGGACAGCCAGGTCTGGGGACCAGCACGGGCATCCCCTCAGGCTGATGCCCAGCTGTGCTGTCCCACCTCCACAGTCCATGGCTGGACCGGGGGCCGGGGGGCACAGCCAGGGCAGGGTTACCTTCTCTCCTCCGACACCGGCCACGCTGGGAGCCTGGGGGAGAAGCAGAAGGGACCATGCTGGGCACTGCTCAAGGCTCTCTGTCCTGGGGCTGGGGCAGGCAGAGGTGGACCCACCAGGCAGCATCACTTACCGGCTTGCCGGGTGCTCCCGGATCACCCTGCAGAGAGATGGGTGTTATTGCTGGCCCCTTCCCCAGCAGCCCCCTGCCACCCACCCTGCTGGGATCCTGCTTTGCCCTCACCTTCTCCCCCCGGGGCCCAGCCGGTCCTGGAGCTCCCTATGTTGAGAGAAGAGACCTCAGGGGGCTGGTGGTGCCTGGGGATGCACAGCTGGGGCACAGCAGCCCCCTGCTACCAGGGTGCCGGGTCCACAGTGCTGCAGCCGCTGCCCTGACTCACCTCTCTGCCCGATGGCCCTGGGCGGCCCGGAGCTCCTGCCTCGCCCTGCAGGAGAGGAGGAAGAGGAAGGTGTCAGGGGCATCCTTCCACCTCATGCCAGCGTGGCTGCTCCAGGGCAGGACAGGCATCCCCCCCTAGAGTGGCCATGGCCGCCCCAGCCCACC